GAATTATGTTTTCCAGATTTGAGAAGCAGTTAAAATAAATCGTTTTTCGACAGTGGAAAGAGTTGATGTGGGAATCACGAGTGCAGACGTGTCATTTATGGAACGAAGATTACCTGTGGGTATTGTCGGTATTAGGTAAGAGGGAGCAGTCATGTTGATTAATTATTTGATTTATTTGTAAAACATAGAGGCAAAGTTTGGACTGTACTTGTTGAGAAAGGGGAAGTCGTGGAGTTCTGTAATCAATTAAAACCCCTTAAACTTCAAAGAAAACCTCCAAGTGCTGTCATGCAATAATTGTCTATGCCTTCGTCAAAACTCTCCACCTTAATAATAATGAACGTTATTTGTATAGCGCATATCACTAACGTAAAGAAAGTCCCTATGTGCTTAGAAAAGAAGGACATAGAGATAGGGCGGAATAGAAATGAACATTTATGCCTGATGCATGAAAATAATTACAATCTAGATTCCTGCAAAGGTTATAAATATAGTTGTCAGAATAATATTCATATCATGAATAGCTTTTACTCCTCACGACCTTGGTGCGTGTTCAGAGTGTTACGTCATTTATATTACCCATTTGCAAATCCATTTTGAAGTCGCCCACTGTGATATAAACTGTTACCCACCCTCTGTCTCCCATGTTACACGACCTTTCTTCATAATTATTTTTCGCTCCTCACAGTGGCCTTTCTCGTTAAACGGTGTGTAGGGTATGAGATTCAGCGGGATTTCATGACTCTTATTGCATTCACCCCATCCACTTGTCAAAGTCTAATTAAAATGTGAGTGGCAACGTGATTCAAGTGGAATCTTTTGACACACCTCCCACCTAAAGTATTGCGTAAGAAATGGCAACAAGGCCAACTGAACTACGCCGAACACAGACAATTTAAAAACGCACTTTTTTATAACGTGGTGTGAATTGTACAGTGACTTACCTGAAAGAAGTAAATGCAATCATGTTGAAGATATACCAAATGATCATGTGCATACCGAGGCAATGACTAAATATTAGACTGAAGGTAGACTAGAGAAAGAAGAGGAAGAAGAAGAAAGCAATGGAGAGAGGGGGAGAGGAGAAGGAGAGCGAGAGATATATAGATAGACCAGAAACAAACAAGGAAAAGGGAAGTTGGATAGGCAAGTAAATGGGAGCACATGAAAACTATTTAGGATTAAAACACGACAGATCGTAGGCCTATATCAGAGAGGGATTTCAATTTCATTTCTCATAAAATGCCCGAAGACCTCTTTTTTGGTTATTTATGTTTCAAACGGGAATATGAACAAAATACTTTTTGTAAGCTCGTTATTGTACCATTGCAGTCAGTGATTATTTTTATAATTTCTTTAAACTATGATTAATTAATTTTGTTTTACCAGAGTTGTGAGGAATTCCCAACGAGTGGTATACATAGTTTATTTAATGCTATAATTTTGTATTGCATCAAATAGTGTTATCTTCCCACTGGATGTTTGTAATGCCAAATGATATGTTTCCCAACATATGCAAGATTTAGAAATACTCTTTTTTCACATCAAAGGCTCAAACACTCAAAATAAGGTATATTACAATTACTAAAAGCCTCCGTCTGAATCGTTAGATATTCGGCAATACATCGATTGAATAGGCCTATACTGTATTCCGTACATTATGACGAAGACAGTTAGAACCGACGCGTCGGTCCAACACAGGTTAGTTCCATGTGTCCATTTTCTTAACTTAATATTTACTTATTTATAACCCTGATTGATCGAAAAAGGCGATCAGCTTCAAACATTATCCTGAAATTGACTAACAATTTAAAGAAATATAAAACAGACAGCGCCCGCCTATATAAGACTACTCTACTATCAACTAACTTAATCTATTGTAGTTGGACTCCTTCTTTCTACAAAAATACTTCCAACAACCTCTCGAATCAGTGTCATAATTCAGTTCAACATCATTCTCAAATCCAAACAAAATTGTGGATGATCTAGTTTGAGTAGCGTAGCGCAATTTTTGCGATTATAACATAGAATCTTTATGATTTAATGACAATTCTATTTTGTATGACGAGATGAACGATTCGAAAGGATGCCATTCAACCTGGTTTCATGCTTTCATTTGATGGAAGGGAAGGAGATATTTGAAGGGCAGAGTTAAGGTTGTTGGTTTAATGGTGGAAGTTGACGGCATGCATCACGCCACACCCTCGACACTAGTAAACCCTATCCTTTAACGGCTCTGTAGTGTTTGCTTTGAACCACCGTCTAGTGACAGGCAAGAGACGGGCAGAGATACGGTCAAACCGATGGTCATGACCCTCACCATGGTCGTGGTTATATCAACAAGCTAGCAGTCGGGAAATACGACGAAGACAATTCAGCTTGATGTAGTTCTGTCAGGATGTCCTGTTTCCATTGGATATAACAAGTTTAAAGATCACGATGAAGAAGTAAAGGGAAATAGCTCTCATTCTATCATGGGCAGTTTTATCTTTGTTATTCGATAATGTATTGATTTATTTGTTTCTTTTATATTTGTGGGGGGGGGGGGTATTCTGTGCGAAATATATCATACTGACAACATAAGAAGTTTTTGTTAATATTCCAATAAAAAATCAAAGTGCTATTATATTTCACCCCATGATCCCTACTAGATAACAACTATTCTGTAACATTGGTTGAGTGCAGTGTCGGAATATGGACCTATATTAGTAGGGTCCATGGTCGGAATGAGTAAAGGCTTTTATGGGGGAGCCGGTAAAAACGTGCTTGTTCAAACTCTGGTAACACAGTTACATACACGAGCAGGGGCGGCAAATTCTTTTCATGACGGGGGAGGGGGGGGGGGGCGAAATGCGAGGGACGAGGGAGCAATGGTGTAATGAGAAAAAAACGCTTGGGGAAGGGGGCAGAAGAAGAAAAAATCCGCATCACCCTTACTCTTACAAGTTACATGAAGACCCCGCGGAACGTTTTTCAAATTGGGGTTCAGGGGTTAGCCCCATGAAGCTCAGGGGTTTTAGGCATTTTATAACGGTCAGATGAGCATCCAGGGCCCGCCCTAGGACCCATGGTAGGGTCCAAGGGGGCGAAGCTCAGGGTGTTAAGGCATTTGTTTACGGTCAGAGGAGCAACCAGGGGCCGCATTACGGCCCTAGGTGGGGTCTAGGGGGCAGAGCTCCCGGAAGCACAGGGAAAAACCATGCCATATTTCAGCACCATTTATAAATCACTGGTATCGAATTAGAAATAAACCACGTTTGAATTTTATTAGAGGGGCAACTGCCTGACCCCCCCCCCCCAATCATTACGCCAGTGCGAGGAAGCATAGTGAATGAGAGGACTGAAGGTGACGAACGTGACTACCCCCGCACAGATTTTTGAAGTTTTGTTGTATTAAAAAATTACTTTTCTTAGCAAAACTATAGTATAAACACAAGCAATATACTTTTTTCACACTTCTCTTTTCCACAATATTTACCTGAACACTTTGAAGGATATTATGCGAGGGAGCATAGTTCCCGAGCAAGAAGATGTTTGCATTTTTATTTGTCTAAACACTGCACTCTTGGGCCCTCCAGAGCCTAAATGTTTGTTGCAGTCTTTAATCAGTATTTGATATACACTTTTTGGGGGCACTTTTTCAGATTTTCCGGGGGGATAATCCCCCTAAAATAATTGAGGGGGGACGTGTCCCCCCTGTCCCCCCCCCCCCCCGAGATCGCCGCCCCTGTACACGAGTGTCATTCTTTTGAATCCTACAGGAAATATTACATGTAAAGTCACTCATTTGCCCATTGATGGGGATGTTCACATCCACCAAAATGCCCTTCATAAGACAAAGTATTATATTGAGACATCCCTCCCGTGATCATTAGAACATTGTAGTGAGAAATCAATATATTCATAGCTTTCAAAAGTTTTGACAGATAGGGTTGGAAGAAAACTTATATGACTTATATGAAAAAGATATGAATTGCTCAACACGCTCAGAGTAAGCAAACAATGATAATACAGTAAATATATATAATTCAATCCAATCGTATCCCCTTATCTGTTCTGCTTTATTTGAAGTCGAATAAGAGAGTTAAAGAATATATATATCCTGAACTTTTCGGCGTGGAACATTTAAGAGGCAGTATCCCCCTCTTCATACGTCAGTGGCTAAGTCCATTTGTCGTACATGATACATTCGACAACGTAGATGACTCTTTCCTCTTCTTTAAAAAAAATAAAAATATATACTTTAATATGGAGTAAATGCAGTGTACGCAACTGGACTGGGTATTTTTTAATAGTATTTCCTGCCTATATCGTCACCCTGCACTGTCCATCCTGAAGCGTATATAACGGCATCAAACATTTCACATCATTATACTATACAATACCAGACAATTCTCTACTCGATTCTATACTGACTTCCAATTTGATCCATTTACCACCAAATATGTAGTACAACACGTGTATATGATGGTTCAACAAACGATCACGTACCAACATTGAATTAGAAACAAATATATATTTAAAGCACGAAAAATAACAAAGATACTGGGAGTCTTCAAAGGAGGACATTCGATTTCGTAGAAAACATATTGAGTAGGTGACCCAGCATATAATCCCGATCTAAGTTGTTCGATTATATCATTTGATGCAGCTTGAAGTATACGAGTATTGATTTGACCTTACAATTAGATTCACCAATTAAAAGGAATAATATATTTTTAGCAATTGATTGAACCATCACTTTATTATTTTTGAAAGTAAGAAAGTTTTGAATGGTAACTAGAATAGAATTAATAATTCTCTGTTCTCTTTCGATGTTTAATTGATCATTGTTTTTATATTTACCCTCCCTACCTCTTCCATCTCTCTTTTTCTTCTCTCTCTCTCTCTCTCTCTCTCTCTTTCTCTTTCTCTCCCTCCCTCTTTATCTCTTCATCCCTCCTTCCTCCTTCCCCATCTCTCTCTCTTTCTCTCTCGTTCTCGTTTCCCTTCCTCTGCAGATGATCGAAGACTTCGCAGTATCAAAAGGGCTTGATCTCCGCTAGAAGCACATCTCACGTGATGTCATGTCGTCACGTAAACAAAAAATAGATCTCACCTCAATAATTCGATTTTGCTTTGTAAATATTCCCATCAAACTGTTTATATTTTTAATTTCTACTAAATCACTTTAGTCCAGCACTATACCCATGTAAACAAAACGGAAATATATATATATTGACGTCTCCCATTTCTCTCGGTTGTACATAATGGTTGCTGTCAGTCACAACTACCGATTGCACGCACGTGGCTCACCGGTTTTGATTAAATAGTTTTAACTTGTAATTTATAAAATCAAATAAGTGCATTAGAGTAAATAAACTAAACTCTTATAATGTGAAATTACCTTAAAGCACAATTGTACAGTATACATATATACATATCAGTTTTAATATTATTCCGCCCCACGTGATTAAGTTTTAGTTTCTCGTTTCATCTCCGGTTATTGGTACGTGTATGTAGCATGCAGGGGCGGCGATTTCTTTCATTAAAAAAAGAGTGGGGGAAAAATCCAAGGAAGTAGCGACAGAACCGGTTCCTCTCCTCCCTCCCCGCCTGATTTTGCATACAAACTTTGCAATGACAACCACAAATGAGAAAAGCTTGCTTTAAATATGCTACGTAGACTTTTGAAGGGATTTCCCCCCCTTTTCTCATTTTTTTTAGAAGGGGGTGGGGTGGGGGTTCCTGATCCTGCATTCTTAAGCATATAAGACCCCATTTTAAGCGCACTACGTCTGTGTTTATATCTTGATTCCATAGCTATGTTCAGCTGAGTGCAATCCATCATATTCATTGTTATTATGCGAAGGATCATAGTGACCGCACGAGATTTTCCATTTTCAAATACATAAAATTTGCCTCTTAGAGCATTACAGAGCCTCTTTGGTGTCATGTTAAAGGTCGAGTCATTACATGATAATTTAAAAAAATATATATTTCTGGGAAACGGGTCCCCGTCCCACCCCATCGCCGCCTTTTAATAGTAATATACAAAATGTACACATACATGTATTATTTTTAACGCTGCAATGATTATTGAAAAGTGCACAAAGGAATGTCAATTGATAAATCTGAAAAATAGTCATTTCTTGTCGTTTAGTTAAATATGTGTTGTTATGACGTCATTAAAAAAGAAACAAACAACGTTGACATTTGACTTCCAGGTGTTCGAGAATTTGTTTGTGGTGAGGAAGGTATCATGATACACGATGTTTAGACAGGGTAGAATTAAGGCTCATATACTCCATTCTGCTGAAGGCCAGTTCCAAAATCAAGATTGTTTGCCTCCATTTTATATATAGAAAGGTTCGGTTTTGATGGGATGCATATTGAATTTGTTAAACTTGACTTGATGTTGCAGAGAGCCTTCTGGCGTACCTTTCACTCACATCTAGATAACAATTACAGCCACATCTCCTCATTGTTTTAACAGCGTGAACAAATGTTGTTTTAATCTAGGCACCTGCACAAACTTTTATTCGCCGGGTTTCCCACGAAAAATAGCAACACAGGGGGAATGAAATCTTGTTCTACATATTTTTTCTTCTTCATTCCCTATAATGGAAATGTTCTGGAAAAAGAGCACACTCATGCTCATCTCCAAGGCAAATTAGATATGATTGATTTGTCGATGGGGAAAGCAGGTTGGCAAATTACGATGACCAATAAAATAAACATAAAGATTGAGAATGGAGTGATTTGACTACTTAATAAATGTTCAATTATGCAAGGACGCTGCCGAAGCGTGATTTTAATCTCCTTCGCATCTTGCTTGTGTTTAATGATAAAGGTAAAGAGGAAGAAAGCCTCGGGGTTTTTTCTCGCTTATTCAGATTGTCTTGCTCGGAGTGAACTATTGGCTTTGCCACCTAAAGACTCCACTTTTGCAGAGTGTTGACAAGACAGGATGAAGGGTTTCTTCTACTATTTATAAAGACGCTAGCATAAGATCACACATAGTCAGAGCGGTTTAGTGAGTCAGGCTTTGGATAATTCCTTGAGATGAAAAATGAGAGCATCGACAATTCGTGTGTTTAATCCGCAACGCAGGAACCCAATGTCTCAATCCCATAAACTCTCAATATCAAATAACACTGGTAAGAAAAACAAAATTGTGATAGACAAGATTAATATTTCTCGGCCAAATAGTATGACTCCTTTTTTATTAAAAGCATGTAATTGCGACAAAAGAGAATACCTAATATAAAAAAAGTAAATTGAACAATCAACAAATACATACGACATAAATGTAGCGACTTATTTTGTATGTGCAGTAGCACGTACGTTTGTCATTTAAAGATTTTTTTATGTTAGAATATTACAGCGACTGTAGTTTCATTAGATGTTTCACATAATTTAAATCACAAATTTCTCATCAATAGCTAGCTGACCTTTTTGTTGACATAGACAAATTACGCATTATATTACTTTGTAGCCTAATAATTATTTGACTATTATATCTTTATTAGCACATTCTACTTTTTCAACGTGTTTACATTCATTTTGTTAAAGAAAATCGAGAATTATTCCTGTGTTTCCCTTCTCGTTTAGGCAATCTCAACGTGTTCATGCAGCTATATAGGAAACATAAAAACTATTCCATAGAAACGGCTCTATTTTCCATAAAAAAGTTGAACTGATGTCTGGTGAATTTCTTAGAAGTGTCAAATGTACTTTTTATTTAATTTGTCAAGAAATGTTATTAATCACTCCAGTGTTCTTGATTACTTTTGCAAAGCACCAAGTACAAAGCAAGTAAAGTGTTGTATGCTTTAGTCATTACGGTTTAATATTGTACTCTTCTATGCAGTAATTCTTCTGTATCTTTCTTTCAACTTCACTTTTAGGAGTGTACGCATTGTCGGGGAAGACTTTCAAATCATTCAATAAATTAACGGGAAAATGAAAGACGCAACTCGAGAATTAAAGAGTATGCCTATAATAGGTTAGGACTATATAAATCATCTTCAGTGGATTTACATACCACAAACATGTGAATAATTAAAGCCCCAAAGAAGTGCCACATCTGACAATTGAAGGTTGTGTTCATAGAGGTTGGTTTACATGATATTTAGACTCGTTTCTTTATTCTAATCTTGTACATATAAGACAAAAGATTATTTTTCTTTGGTTTGTAAACTGTTGTTTTGGCTTGGTCTCAATAAAAGTAATCTGTCATAGAGATCGTTGAAGTAGTCTCTTCTTTAGCCTGGCTGGATGATGTATGATAAAAGTGTGCATGTGAGCATCTATCTATTAATGTACTTCAAAATAATGTACGTTCAACCAAAGAAATCATTCACATCAACCCATTCGATTCGAACATATCCAACTAAAAAACAACCATACAAACAGATCTAGTTCATAATCATTCCCTGACTTTGTAACATTTTGCAAACAGACATTAAACAACCTGCTGCATTAATTTAGTATAACAAAAATTTATATCACATATTTAGAAGTCTGTTGAGTAAATGTTTGTTTGTTTGTTTGATAATCTTTGAAATGTATATTTATGCTGTATTTGTATTGGCTTTGATGACAGCAGAGAATGCACTACCCTTAAGCATTTTTGAAAATTACGCATTGAAGCTATTTATTCCATAAAAGCAAGCAAGTTTTATTCAGAATTGTATGGTCTATGTCTAATAATATATAAATAGAAATAATATAAAAGAGTGAATACCTTTATAAAAAGAACAATAAATCCACTTAAATACATTCACAAGGAAGTACAGTTAAGACAAAAATCACATTAAATTGCATTTCTTCAGAGCAAAATACATATCAAGCACATTCTATCAATATTACATACATTTACATGAATAATTCTATGCCGATAGAACACTCAGCAACATGGCCTGGCTCTTGACTATTTTAAATCTACATTAATTATTTTCTCCTCTCAAAAACCGCTCAAACTTATCTTACTGTATAAAAATAGAAGACATATGTACACTTTCATATGACATGTCTCTTCTTCTCCAGTCATCACTGAAGAACACATACAGGAAAACTCTTCATTTTCACAGTGATTAACAGGACGCCCTCTGCTCTGCTTGCTTGGAGCTCATAGGGATAATCTCATCATTCTGAAAATGATTATAGCTCATCAATGATTCAACTTAAAACACAAATTATGACCAGAATTGTGCTGTAAAATTCAATCATGCAATTAGTTATTAACAATTTTCATTTTTCTTATATAATCTTAAGACATTCTTAATTAAACTGAAATAGATTCACTGATGCCACTTCATAAACCCTTTTCGATGATAACACAAATTCTTTTTCCTTTTTTCTGGTAAACTGCAAGGTTTCATTGCAGACATTATCAAACATTCAAATGCAGCATTCATCAAAATAAATATTAAACAAAAAATAACTTTTCAATAATCCTTCTTTGTCACAAAGTTTTAAAGCAAAATAGGAAAGTATATAGCTGTAGTTAGCTCCTGATAGAAATTTGACAGACATCTTACTTTGCTCATATAAGATCTCTTAATATGGAATTATTATATTCACTGAGACATTAGTCAAGAAATATCACTGTATCATTTTGATTTGATTTGATTTGATTTTGTGTGTGGTTTATATTAATATAGTAATATCGTGTGATAAAAGAGACCAAAACTGTTAAATTACTTCCATTAAGATGAAACTTCTTATAATTATTTATCATACAATTTAAAAGCTGAAAACTGCTACTGGGAAATGAGGTAACAAAAATTACAAAAATTGAATAACCTAGCAACCTACAGCACCATAATTTTACTATTCACATTAGAAATAACTTACAAGCTTCTTACACAAATGTGTCAATAAATATACTAAAGGGCTAAACTCTTTGAGTACCTAACATCTTAGAGTAGTACTGATAATAATTCAATTCTTTACAGGTTCCTCTTCTCTTGATTCTTGTTTAAGAAACACTCACTTTTCGCCAAAAATAGATAATTCAGCCATTGTTGATATCTTTCACAAAAGATATATTGATTCACTTTCCTAGAAAAAAGAACAATTGTATTTATTTGGAAAAAGGGGCAAAATCAAGTAAATTCACTTGACATGATCAAAAGATTATAATTGAAGTGATTACATATGTTTATCAAAGAATACTTTTTGAAAAGCAATTTTGGATCATTGGAGATTGGTCAGAGCATAAAAGAACGCTACAAACTCAATAGGCAAAGCAATCTAATTCCTATTTAAAATGTTACAATTCAACATTCTTTTAAAGTCCCCACCTCGGGTTGACTTGTGCATAAATACATTTCAAAATGGAAGAATGACAATGAACCTTTACAAAACGTTGTGATGCTGCTGCAAAATGACAAAGAAAACCATTTATATTTCTAGCATTCTTCATTATCAACGTGTTTTATTGTACAATTAAAATACAAGCTCTAACCTAGATACCTAAATGTTTAAACAAGATATACATGAGGACATGGTCAGACCAAAGATGTTTAAAATCTCTACAGCTTGAACAACAAAGTCAGCTAAATATGAAGATATAATAAAATCCTGCATATTCAACCTTGAATACTTTACCAAACTGGACACTGGATGGACTGATAATTTACAAAACCCAGATTTTCATATACAATTAACCTAATGTTTGGACATTATCATTGGTACTTCTTTGAAAGAACCGTAGGAAATGAGGAGATATTAATAAGCACCACTGGGTTCAACCAATGAGTCTATGCTCAGCCTTAATTTATACATATTGACCAACAACTTTACAGAAAATGTAAAAAGAAAGCACCCTGTTTACAGATTAACATCTTCATGACAAAATATGCTACCTTTACACATTTTTACAAGACACAAAAAATTGCCTCAGTTACGCTTGATCTACATTTTGGAGAGCTATGCTTAATTCTTCCTAATATAGGCACATGTTCATGTTTTCTTTATTTAAATATAGATAAAGCATTTATACAAACATAAAGTTAGACAACAATTATAGTCTTGACATAAATCATCACATACATCCCTCTTATTGTTCATAATGTTCTTCATTTGCATATATGTAAAACCAAGAATGTTATGACATGTACTTCTGAGTTGAAAATTGAAAAGTGGTAAACTTATGTGGCGGAAGTACACCAATAGTTTGCAGCTAATACATGTACTCTCCAGACAATCTTTATTCTTCCATCTAGTATTACATCCAGTTCAGTAGGTATGTTTACCATGTTTGAAAATACACAAACTGATTTGGCTTATACTGAGTTGTTTTTATAACTGGCATAACTTGAATTGTTTTACAAATTTGAGTTAGAGAAAAAGACATTAAAGATAATAAACCACTCAACTTCCAAACACATGCTACTAATCCCTTGAATACATGTACATTGTTTTCAGGAAGAGACAAAATGGAATTTTTTGAAAATGTTTAACTTAACAAACTTTCCTTGATAATTTGAGCATCATGTTAAGACAATCTACTAATGTAGTAGACCTTAAGAGCCTACAATTTTGGCCCAGCATTACAAATTTATTAATATTAAAATATATGCAAAACTTAATACAGCAAAGAAAGAAAATCACTTCGAAATATACCATACAAATCCATTGCAATTCCTATCATTCTGTATTCCACAAGTAAAATTTCTTCTTTTGGACAACCATCATTTCATTTACATATTCTTGCCTCCCCTACTGCTTCATATTTGAACATTATGTACAAAATAGCTCTTTATGTCCATTGCTTCTTTCTCTAAAAATGGTTGTGTCCTCTCTCTCTCTCTGTCTCGCTAAAACAGCATATTAACTGGCACTTAGAATATAGAGGATAGAAGGGAATCAGTTTTGTAGTTCAGATTGTGTGATTTCATTCAGGTCTTTCATCAATCCTTCCAGGTGCATCATTTCAGCATTCAGATCCTCAGCACTGAATGTACGCACAGTCGACTGTCATTTCAACAAATAGAAAAGGAAAACAAACAAAATGTATATTTAAGGTTGAATACTTTTAACTCTACATAGGAAACAAAATACCATAGGTTGTCATGATATGTCTATAGAACCATCAAGTATACAAGAGAAAATGAGATATACAATATTTCTGAATATTTAACCTTTCAATTAAACTATTCAGTAAGATGTAGAAGTCTTTGATTTATTATCCTAATTTATAAAGTAATTGGGCCTGTTGAAATCAAAGGGCTTTCACATTGTATTCATTGCGTTCCAACAGTATGTAAATCTTTACGAGTAGTTTATTGACAATATTTATGCTATAACACACCTGTCTTGAAAAACATATGAAGGGATCATTTAAGAGAATGAAGGAATCAGATTGAGAGAATGGAGGAATAGATTGAGTGAATGAAGGAATGGATTGAGTGAATGAAGGAATCAATTGAGAGAATAAAGGAATCAATTGAGAGAATAAAGGAACAGATTAAGAGAATGAAGGAACGGATTGAGAGAATGAAGGAATGGATTGAGAGAATGAAGGAATAGATTGACAGAATAAAGGAATGGGTTGAGTGAATGAAGGAATGGATTGAGTGAATGAAGGAATGGATTGAGAGAATGAAGGAATGGATTGAGAGAATGAAGGAATGGATTGAGAGAATGAAGGAACAGATTGAGAGAATACAGGAATGGGTTGAGTGAATGAGGGAATGGATTGAGTGAATGAAGGAATGGATTGAGTGAATAAAGGAATCAGATTGAGAGAATGAAGGAATGGATTGAGGGAATAAAGGAATCAGATCGAGTGAAAGAAGAAACAATTGAGAGAATGAAGGAACGGATTGAGAGAATGAAGGAACGGATTGAGAGAATGAAGGAATAAGTTGAGAGAATGACGGAATGGATTGCGAGAATAAAGGAATGGATTGAGAGAATGAAGGAATGAATTGAGAGAATGAAGGAATGGATTGAGTGAATGAAGGAATGGATTGAGAGAAAGCAGGAATGGATTGAGAGAAAGCAGGAATGGATTGAGAGAATGAAGGAATGGATTGAGTGAATGAAGGAATGGATTGAGTGAATGAAGGAATGGATTGAGAGAATGAAGGAATGGACTGAGAGAATAAAGGATTGGATTGAGAGAATGAAGGAATGGATTGAGAGAATGAAGGAATGGACTGAGAGAATGAAGGATTGGATTGAGAGAATGAAGGAATGGATTGAGAGAATGAAGGAATGGATTGAGAGAATGAAGGAACGGATTGAGAGAATGAAGGAACGGATTGAGAGAATGAAGGAATAAGTTGAGAGAATGACGGAATGGATTGAGAGAATGAAGGAATGGATTGAGTGAATGAAGGAATGAATTGAGAGAATGAAGGATTTAATTGAGAGAATGAAGGAATGGATTGAGAGAATGAAGGAATGGATTGAGTGAATGAAGGAATGGATTGAGAGAATGAAGGAATGGATTGAGTGAATGAAGGAATGGATTGAGTGAATGAAGGAATGGATTGAGAGAATGAAGGAATGGACTGAGAGAATAAAGGATTGGATTGAGAGAATGAAGGAATGGATTGAGAGAATGAAGGAATGGACTGAGAGAATGAAGGATTGGATTGAGAGAATGAAGGAATGGATTGAGAGAATGAAGGAATGGACTGAGAGAATGAAGGAATGGATAGAGAGAATGAAGGAATGGATTGAGTGAATGAAGGAATGGATTGAGAGAATGAAGTAATGGACTGAGAGAATGAAGGATTGGATTGAGAGAATGAAGGATTGGATTGAGAGAATAAAGGATTGGATTGAGAGAATAAAGGAATGGATTGAGTGAAAGAAGGAACGGATACAGTGGATGAAGGATGTTTGAGAGAATGAAGGAATCAATTGAGAGAATGAAGGAATGGATAGAGAGAATGAAGGAATGGATTGACAGAATGAAGGAATGGATTGACAGAATGAATGAAGTAATCCTTACCCCAGGGCTGTTTCCATCACCTATTCCTCTATAAGTAACATCCGGTGCTTTGGGTGTGATGACAGCCATAGGTTGAGCTCGCCCTCGACCTGGACCAGGCTGACCTCTCTTCAGTGGACTGTACGTTGGAGCAGTTATCCTCACTACAGCATTAACAGAAATACCCAGTGTTAATCCATAAGATCAATTAGGGTTTGAGCTGATAAACTCTGAACATTATCATATCATTTACAGTACCTCATTAAAATTATAGTTGTTATCAACATCCTAAAAAATATCATTTTTTCATCATCTTTATTATCATCTCCACCATCACTTTCATCATCATCATCAGTATTATTATCATTATCATCCTCCTAATCAATATAATTTTTCATCACCTCCACCATCACTTTCACCATCATCATCATCATTATTATCAAAATCAACATTAATTTAATCACCATCTATATCGTGATCATTTGAATAATGCATACATACCCTTGGCCTGTGGATGTTGGTAGTGAGGAGGAGGAGGAGCAGGTACAGTGAAGCTAGAGAGGGGGTTGGTGCGGGGTGCAGTACCACTGTTTTGACTACCGGACTCATCTTGGGAGCTGGCATTGGTATCACTATGGTAACCTGCTGGACACAAAAGTACACATTAGTGTAAACACACATCATCCACACTGAAAGGCTCGGAGCTAGTACAGCTCTTTGTAATCTCATACAACTAATGCTAGAATTATTGGATTGCAAGAAAGAAAGGATAGCATTCAGGCTTATATGGAGTTCATGATTGGTTTTCTGAAAAAATATCAAATCAAAAACGATAATTTTGTTTCAATTTAAAAAAAAAAGGGGGGTTATGTCTCAAGAAAAATAATTACTTTAGCTTTTAAAAGTCATCTTTTTTTTCTAGGATATTTATATCTTATTTTTCTATCTATCTATCTATCTATCAGGCTATAGTTCATCCAGACGTTGGACAAAGCCCTCCTCGTGAAATTTCCATTCTCTTCTGTCTCTAGCTGTCCTAGTCCAAGCGGCCTAGTGCCAACCTTTAAAAAATAAAAAATTCTACCAGTACTTAATTGTAATTTTAATGCTTAACTAAATGTAGATCAGTGTTTCAGGAATCCTAGACTACACAAGCTTTGACCCCCCAAAAAATGACAGCAAAGCTGAGTTCAGTGCATGAATTTGTGTAAAGGAACAACAATCCTCTTTCTTATTACAATACATGTATGTCTTTAAATTAAACTTCACTTTATGGGGGATGGAAATAAAGATAAATCGCTTGTAATAGGTCACAATATTACTGATAAAAAATGAAAAATGAGCTTTTGCATTAGATTGAAAAATTGCCTAGGAAGTCAAATGAAAAATCATTTAATTTAGACTTGCCCCTGAAATCTCATTTTATCAACTCACACAAATAAAACCTGCTGGAACTGAAATTAATCATCAATTCCTTCATGTATACCATTTTTGTGAGACATGTGCTTAGAAACAACATGTTATCAAATGTAAGTTATTGATCCAAAATGTGATCACAAACTCTTCAAAATAGCATTATGCAGAAAACTGACATTCATACAAATTAAACTAAATCATGTACACAACTGTCAGCTTGTAAAATGAAATACATCAAGGTGCACTTTAGAAAGTATATACATGTATTAGCAAAACGCTGCACAAAAATATAATTTGTTAGTGAATCTACATGTAATGAGCAAAAAGCTGATTTAGCTGCAACAAAATTGTTATATACAAACCATTCCAACATACAATAGTATAATCACATGACTGAACAATAATTTAATCTAACAGAGTGTGTGTTATGTGCAATGAGAAACAAAACAAATGGTCTGAATGATGCAAATGTTAATCAAATTAATCAAGCATACATATGTGTCAATATATGCACAACAGTTTAATAAGAATTTGCAGCAACAACAAAAGTTTGTGCTAAAAGGACCTAACTTTAATGATGTGACTTTCATTTAGTGAATTGCCATTGACTTTGCTTTGTTCAACTCAGATTAGTTACCGGTATCTAATCTAATTGGGCATGGCAAATTATTTTAAAGCATGAACATTCTTGATTTGAGCATCAATCACCTGAAACCGCTTGTAGAAAATAAGGAAAATAATAGTGTTTAACAGGTGAAGAGAGAAATCTAACTCTCATGTATTTCTATGAGTTCTAATTGGGATTTATATGTATAAGCACACGTTAGCTAAAAAATAGCAAATTTACCTAAATTACACTTTTTGTGAGATTCATTTTATCCACTATTTATATGTTGGTTATGTTGGGAGTAAAAACCAATTTAGATAGAGGTTTCATCATAACCAATATAAAGGTTTAGAAGTACCTACCATACCCTAAATAATCTTTTATACTAATGCTTTTGTTAATCTTTCCTCAAATATAAAAGATAATACAGGCCTAAGTCAAGCTTGCATATATATTTGTTTAAAACAAAGCAGACTGTTCAAATCAGGGAAGATGCAGAAGCAAGAGAAATATAAATGTGGGAAAATAGATCAAAGAGAGTGGTAAGAAGATGACAGAAAGCAGGAAGAGAGAGAGGGCAATGTTAAAGAAAAAGATAAAAGTAAAAATAGACACAGAAAATAGCTTGCATAAGCATAATGCATGTATTTGATGCTAAATGCATTTCAAGATGTTACCTGGAAACGGTAATTGCTTATCATTCATAACTGTGGGTTCATAACGACTATTACATCAGGCTATTGAACAACTTAGGTACTGTGACAATAAATTGCCTCATTAGGAAACATCATTCAGCTATTAAAGTATCAAATCTATTGTAAAAAGCCATCAATAAAAAAAAACATCATCCAACTTAGAAGTCTGAGAAAATGCACTTCACATGGCAAGCTCTTCAGTACTAATAGCAAATAGGAGTTAGCTAAAAAACAGAATTTTGTTCCTATCCAACCTAACTTAATCAATATCCCCGATTTTGAATTGTATAAAAATATAAATTTATATTAGAAAAGAATTTTGTATGACATTTTAAGTGTTTGAAATTAGAAAATGTTTATATCAAAATATTCTAATATTACAAAATCAATTTCTACAGTAAATCTAACTCTTGGATTTTCATTTTCTAGAGATGGAGAAGAAATAATCTACATTTTTCTCTACATGTTATTTCAAAATTAATAATGGCAAAATACTAAACAAAGACAAAAGCAAAAATGCAGAAGTGCAAAAGAGGAGGGAAGAGTCCTTTTTATCATGTGAATGCAGGCTTCTAGTATTGCTTAATGCAGTAGATATTAAAATAAAAAATCATATTCAGCTCAGCAAAATGCTATCAGCACATTCTCTTTTCAGGTAAAGCAGACACAATGTGCATAAGCAATATCTACAACTATTTTGTTCCAATGTAATGCAGTGCATGCTACTGCTTAATAATATGTTAGTGAAGTTTTCCCTTGACAATACCTGAACTATACACATATGGCGGCCTGTCGGACATAGCAGAGCGTGTTGAAGCATTAGACATGAAGTCATAGGTCTGCGTGTTAACCAAATTATCTGATATCCCAGGGGAAAAAAGACAAAGACACATCAGGTCAACACATTGAAGAAGACAAAAATAAGTCAAACATGCACCAAAATGTCGACATTTTGAGTGAAGTGCTGATACTATATGGAGTGCTGTTATTTTATAAAGTGTCATTTAATAAATCTGGATTGCCCTCCTTTCATTTTGTATAATTTGCTTGTAATGTGAGTTAACACAGCACGCATACATGGACTTCACAGCCAAGTTTCATGCAGAACTGTGGTGTCATAGTTTCATACAGCCATCATTTCTTTTCTGCATTTCATGGCTAAAGTCCTGCATAAAAAGCACATCATTACAATGTTTCAGTTCTCTTTGCCTAGTTAAACCATCGAGCATGATATCTCATGTAAATTATTTACAATATAACAGCAATGTGCCGATGTAAAATTTATTTCCTGCTTAAAACATACAAATTAATATTTAAAAAAAAAAAAAAAATCAAAAATATGTCACAAAGTGAAATTGTGCAAGAACATCATAATCAAATTCTCACTGAAGTACAAAGATCAAGTAAAACAACTTTTGGAAAAGAATACTTGATAGGAGAAAGTAAAATGTCATATATGCAACTGACAGGACTTGTTATTCATAAATGTTGACATCAGTTGAACTTGAATATCAAAGCAATCACAAAGTATTAGTACACCCATTGTGACTCATACAATGTCAAAGTAAGAGGGAGAGAAAATGTTAATATTAAGATGGAGAAAAAGAAGGTTTTAGTTAATCTTGTTACAATAATGATGAAACCCTGTGGAGAAAGCAATAAAGAGAGAAAAGAGGATGACTTCACACTATGTATGCAAGATGAAAGCAGTAGCATAGTGTGATAAAAAAACAATGTTAGTAATCTCAGATAATCCCAGAAATCTGCAATTGTATACACCATCAGGGCATAGAGAACAGATATCCCTACCGATACATGCACTTTGATGAGGTGTAAAAAGTGTTATTACAAAACAGTATTTAAAAACATCATAGTCTTTTAGATAACATACACTAATTTGTTCCAGGCAAAAGATTGATAATTGTTTCTTGTCCATTGACATTGAATACCAGACATAAAGTAGGGACATGCACTTTATTTTATCATTTTGAAGAAATAAAGTTTTTTTAAACACTTTAAGATTTTGTTTGGAACAATTTCCAAACACTCAAAAAAGATAAAAATATTTAAAAAACACAGAAAAAGCTTGCATAAGCATAATACATGTGTTTGATTCAAAGATGTTCCTGAACATGGATGGTAATTGCGTAACATTCATAAGTGTGAGATCATAATGACTATTAAATTACGCTCTGAACTATTTTAGTACTCCGGCAATAAATTGCCTCATTAGGAAACAGCATTCAGCTAATAAAGGATCAAATCTTTGGCAAAAAGCCATCAATAAAAAACAAAACACTCATATTTGTGTTAACAGGTTTATGAAAAAAAGTAGCTAATGATTATCCCAGTGAAATGAATAAAGTTCACTTTATCATGTGAAACAAAGACAAATGTTATGAGAGAAAATAAGCTGAATGGAAGAAGGAAAGATGGGGATATGTAGCTTACACCAATGGCTTGTTAGGTTCCCTTTCTTTACCCTGATATAAGGAAGCAAAAGAAAAGGCAAATTGGTATGACACCGATTTTCTTTCACATGGAAATAGATCATAAACATATAGTCTAAATACACAGAACTATTCACCAGATGAACCTTAGTTATTGATAAAAGACGCCCCTTTCTCATCTTCATTAGTAGAGTACTCTTGCCTCAAATAAGACTAAACCATATTTCACAATAATTAATAATACTTAATATACATTACAATGGTATTCCTGAATTAGTTTTCTTTTAAGTATCAGTTTTCTTTTATGACATTGGATTACTTTCCACCCCCCCCCCCATTGAAATGTGCATGAATCGACTGTATTAACATGCCAAACTAAAGGTTTGAAAACAAAGGTATCCAGCAAAAAGGTGTTTAGTGTTGAGAAAAACAAACACAGTCAATTTTCTTTCTTATCTAACTCACATGTTCACACAGTGTTTTTCACAATAACAAACATTAAGTGCTTTGTAGACTAACTTTGCTGGATTAATTTTGGTCAAACACACACCGCAATGCAAAATTGTATTAGGGAATAAAACGTGTTGTAACTACATGCGCACACACCCTTGCTGTTCACCAGTAACAGGGCTATAAACCTTAGCTTTTATAACCATAAAAAGACCTTAGCAAAACCATACATATTACAAATATATTACTGTAATCAGTCATAACATATAAGCAACTGGCTAGTGAAATTAGCAAAGAATGCTGTTTGTCAATATTTATCAATTTTCCACCTAAACATTATTTTTGGAGGTCAGAACTTTTCACCACATTACCTTAAGGACCTATGTAACATTACAATATCATTTGAAAAGACCAACTATTATTGAAATATAACTGAATAGCATAATGGATTATAGATGTTTCCCTTTAATATACAATATTAATTTAAAATTGAATTATACATAAATGGTAATTGAATAATGGTTTTATAGTAATATGATGATATTTCATTATTATCATTATTAATTTATGATACAACAATAAATGAGGACTTAAGATGTATTATTCTCTACCTCTTCTTCTATCAACCATCTGTTGAACTGCTACATGATCAAGCGACATAGCCTTTGAAATGACACGTTGTTTGAGCGAGTGATTGACCCGGGCCATGACCCTAGCTTGGCGCCTCGCATACTCTGACATCCCTATCTCGGACACCGTGTCGTCTCCTCCAACAAACGCATAGTCCATTGCTGGGTCATTCGTTTCACGAAAGAAATTGGCAGAGTGTGCGTGACGGAGGACGGCCTCTGGTGGTGGTGGTCGATGATGATGATGATGGGGAGGAGGTGGGAGGTAGGATGATTGGGGGATGGGAGGACGATGGTATAAAACTTATTGGATAAAAGAAGGAAGGGGAATAAATAAAATCACTCAGGGAAAGTAGCACGAACAACGAAAAGTAAAAACTGTTAGCAAAGTATTTTAGAAGTTAAGTACCAAATTTTGAGGAAATCTATAGGGCTTGATAAGGGTTGAAGATATTAAGAGAAACATGCATATTTGGCATATATATATGCGTCTCACTAATTGTGTTCTAAATAGCTTCACTACTGGTTAGCTTAACATTTTATTTGTTTTTTCTAATATTCTTGAAGCCCCAAAATAAAAAAAGTCTTATTATGAATGAAGGACATTATATAGGGTTATATACAGTTATATGTAGCAGGGAATTTCAAGAAACAAATATCAGGACATGCAAAGAGAAACTGCCGAATATGAATTGCAAAGTAAAAACCTGTAATTTCATTCAAAGAAGCTATTTAAGTAACTAACTTTGATCAACAATGGAATTACAAAAATTAATTGTGTTAGTTTTCTGAGATACAATAGACCTTACAGTGCTGAGTGGTATATGATAACATGTAATGCAATATTGAAAAGCACAAACAAATTCAATGCAAATTATGCATAATTTTTGTATAACTACACCAAAGCTTTTTAAGATGCTAGAGCAAGATAGATCTCATTTTTCATATTTCCTTTCAGTAGCCTCTCTAAATTGCAAACAAGGGACACACTATGTTTCAGTTTATACCACATTGCAATGACCAAATATAATCTTATCTATAACAAGTTTATTGCTACTTCAAACTAGGAGCATTATATCTAGGCTAAACATTACACTGTCTTTGAAGTAAAGAGTTATTAATTTGTGTAATTTTATCATAGATTTTAGTCAATCAGCTTTCCAATTATCTTGTCATGTATTTTCTGCTATAGCAGCATTGCACTCTGCATATTTCACTTTTTCAAGAAGCTGTGCTAATGGGATCAAGACCAAGTTTGTAGGCCAGATTTTGCTATACCTTCTTGGCTCCTAGCACGACTCATAGTACTAGCAACCTCGGCATCGGTATCAGAGAAGAGTTCACCCGTGGAGTTATTATTGTTGGAAGAGTAGCGACTTCCAGACATGGAGTGGCTCGAGGAGTAACGTCCTGCATCAGCCGATGTTCCATTGGACAGACCAGACCCTCCACCTACACCACCATAAGACATGCTACCTCCTCCGCCCGATGAAGAAACCCCACCCGTCCCGGCAGACAGGCCCCCAGTGTTGGAAAGGCCACTGGAGTCATAGCGGTAGGAACTGGACTTGTGGGAGAGAGCGGAGCCATTGGAAATGGGAGCGGAAGAGAGGAGGTCGTCTTGATGGTTGGTGGACAGGGGTGCATGCACTAGGAGAGGAGGGAAAGGCAGAATGGTCACATATAACATGCATCTAGCAATCTAATACAAACACCAAACATGCACATTTTAGAGGATAATGGAAGACTGCAGGGTATGGGAACATACATTTAATAGACTAATTTGATAATACCAGATAATAATGTTTATCGATGATCTCATTGTTCATAAAAATTTATCTTGTAAATAAGACAATTTTTCCCTATTTAAGTTCGTTCAGAAAATCTTTAATATGAGTAAAACATAAAATAAGGAATGATAAATCATTCATTTCATTTATTTTTTGTCAAGTTATTCCTCTTAAATTTGTTGACTAATACCACTGATTGCAATATACCTCTGGAGTCAGTAGCATAGTCACTGGATGCAGCATGGACCTTGCTACCAGAATACACACTGTTAGCAAAGCTTGTCTCTCTGTCGATATCCCTGCTCTCAGACAGATTGGGGGTGAAAGCACTGGTACTGCCATTGGTACCGCTACCGCCACCCTCACCCATGTACCACTTGTTACGGTTACCTCCGATCCCACTCATGGTTGATGAACCATGGGGCTCTCCTCCACGATGATTCATCTCGCCGATGTTGGAAGCGCTTCGATACTGGTAGCTTGAGCTGCTCTTGTAGTTGCTATTGTCTGTGCCGAGGCCACGACTGGTTGACATTGGTAAGGTCATAGCGCTGGAGGAGAGATGAGTATCCTGAGTCAGACCCCTGGACATCATGGGTGATAGAGGAGGAGGACTGGATCCCATGTCAACAGGGCTAGTAATCCTAGGGACATCATGGAAGGTTGGTGATATGGCACTGTGACCTAGAGGTGGACTTGCCGGAGAATGCTCAGGGACTATGTAATGTTGGGTCTCTTCGTAGCTGCTGTTCTCAACCATCCCTCCTCTCGGGTTCGTCCTGAGGCTGCCGGTCTGGTAGTCGTGCCTCCGTCCAGTGTCGATGCCGCTGTCCATGGTGTTGTAGTTGTTGTATTCTCTCTGGGCATTTTCGCTGGAGCTGTAGTTGTAGTCTCTGAGTCCTCCTGGACTGAAACCAGTAGAGGTGTTGCTGCCATCCTGTGAGGTGTTGTACCTGTTACGGTAGCTCGATTGTTCATTGAGGCTGCTGACAGTTGGAGCAGTGATGGCTGGTAGGAAGACAACGCATTAGAGAGAATTAGAATAGAATCACCAATATGTAATAAGCCATGTCAAGAGTTTATTTCTCAAATTTGATTTCACTGTAAGTTATGGTTCCTGACATAGATACCTTCAACTATGAAAGGATATTGAAAGAGCTGAAAAACCACAAGTTCTTTTCTTAGAATATTATAATTGAAGAACTAAAAATGAAAGACTTAATAGTTTCTCATGAATATTGCTTTCATATGGATAACAGTAACTGAACAAAGAGACAAGAGTCCTCAAATTCATTGTAGTTTGTCTATTGTTCAATATCCCCTAAAACAAGCAAATGATTAACGATTTTATAACAACTACTATATGATCAAATTTTACTTCATAACATGAATCCTAAAAGTATTACAATGTGGAAGTCATATCGTCAAAATTATATCAGAAAAAAGGGAGAGAAGCTATACTCTGGTCTTTGACAAGACAAGGATCTTCAGAATAAGAAGGGTTTAAATAATAATGAGAAATTCATGTATTCAACCTAATAAGATAGCTAGTAGAAGTTTGATATCATACCTTTGAGAGGTTGTTCAGCATACTGAGGTATGTCAATGGCTAGAGGTCCTTTATCTAAGCCATCCTGTAGTATGGTCTGTAGATTCCGATCTCTTGATGCATCCGATGTGGAGTAAGACTTGGCAAAGGTCTGATGACTTGACAGGGTCTTGACATTGCTACCATCTGATTGTGGCACCATCTTCTCCACCGAATGAGTGGTAGTCGTCTCCTCAAACGTGACGGTCAATGGGTTTGGTGTCAGTCCACTACTGGCCACAATTTGACCATCGGGGAAGGTCACAATCTGACCGTCATGATAACCCACGGCAGACTGTTGAGAGTCAGAGTTCTCACGCATCCTGGTCTCAGGAAACTCAGAATGATTGCTGCCAAGGGTGGAGTAAGCATCGTTTCCTTGGTATTCATTCTTGACCTCCTCGATGCGAACATTGGTCGTGTTGATGTTGACGTTCGGTTTCTCACCCTTCTTGACATTAGCATAGTTAGCTAGGATTGCAGAGTAGGGAGGGGACAGGGGTACAAAACATAAAACATGCACATAACAACCATGCAAATAATATAAATCATGCAACGGATATAAATACATGCATATTGAAGACAAATAATCATCTCAAACAAATAAATATCACAGATGTGTGTGAAACAGCCACACACATGCCCTTATCTATTTGAAATTAGTAGAATGTCCATTATTTGAATGATGAAGAGTATTTAACAGCAGTATTAATAATTATTTTACCTCTCAAAGTAAAGACTAGTGTAACATGTTCTTGTTTTTTCCATTGTCCTAAAAACTAGTTTGATGGACATAGCATTGATAAAGCATCATCAAAATGTTTTGTCTTTCTTCATTTATGGGTCGTCATGCTGGTTTATCATGTTATTTGATTTCTTAACAATAGATAGCCATAGCCATTAACTCGGTAGATAAATTATGATTTTGGTATAAAGCGCATTTTCAATAACCTCTATCAGGAGCTATGTTGGGCTTAGCATTCAACGGATTAATAAAATGACTTGCACAAATATTTCTTTCAATAGGAATACTGAATTTTCCTTCAACTATCTGATTACAGAGGAAAACATGGTTTAAATAAAGATGTACATTCCATAATTGCAATAACATGGCCTGTACATCTGCAAACTGAAATTCGCTCAACTTTTAAATAAATTATCAATATGTATATTACCTGGACGTGCACTTCTCTGCACAGATTCTTGGACCTGCCTCCTTTGTGTCGGTATATAACTCTCGGACACTACAGATACACAAACACAAGGCAAGACAAAGCAAGTACTAATAAACATGCATGCAAACAATTAAGCTACTCGCACAATATTCACTGGCATCACAAAATGATATCATAACATGCTAGGTCCAAATTATAAAACAGAATTTGAGTAAACATGCAACTGAATAAAATAAAACAAAATTTGGATGCAGAGAGATTTGAAATTATAAGCACAAGTCAAAAATAATATATTCAAGTCCACTTCTTGTGACACAATAAAAATATCAATGCTCTTGAAACTCAGTCAATAAGTGATCATGAAATTTCTGTTCTCAGTTTGACATGAAGTTACATAGGATAAAACAAATATGCACTAATAAAATACACAGAAATACAAAAATTGCGAAATGAAAGGTATAGGAAGGTATAACAATATAGAGTTTAGCATATTCCAGAATCATATGATTCAAATCTTGGTACAATATCTCGGTAATATGACATAAAAATGATATATGGATAAAAAAAAGAGTACTTTCTAAACATTGATTACTGATTGTTATATGTGATGGAAGTATATCGGTTGTATTTCTACACTAAGCATGTTACAAACCTCTAGATAACTCTAATCAAGCTACTTTCAGCCACAAAATATCTTGTCATGACAGCATAGTATTGATCATAAATTGATTTGCGCAGCAGGTACTGTAGGAATCTCTGACATATATGTCACAGTCACACTATTTCCCCAAACTTTGGTTTACGCAAAGTGTGAAATATTTTTGATATTCTATAAGCTTGATAAATTGTTATTAGTATATTTGCATGTTTTAAAAAATGTAAATAAGTACATGTGACGTTGTTCATAATGCAATTCACAATTCAAAATATTTAACTGCCTACGAGTGTGTGCTGATTAGCAAACATGGTACAAAATTGTTAATGGGTTGATTATGGTATTCTCAATACCAATGGTTAAACACTATAGATACACTACATATTGATGCAGAAGTGCTATCATAGGGCTACCAAGTTTACTTGTTACGGTATTGATATTCCAATGGTAGACAGACATTTCTTTTTACTGTCAATTAATTCACTGGGGTCAATGGAATACATCTTAACAGATGGTAGAGTTGATTTACACAATACTTGAAGGAGGTGGGGGGGGGGGGTTGTTCACAAGTATTCTACCTGGTTTATAAGATATGTCTGCACTGGGGCTAGTAGCCGATGCCCCCAGGGCTACCGGGGATATCTTACCACTCAGAGGGAGAGAATCTTCATGAGTTTGGTAATGAAGAAGGAGGGAGAGATCAATACAAGATTACATCAAGATAATTACGGAGAAAGGCTCCATCTTTGCTCCTCTTGTACAGTTGTTCTTGCATAATATGATCACAATGATATATTTGAAAGAATGTTTCACCACTCATTGCATTATGTTCTTCCTGATGACACAAATCTGGTGTTTTAAATGATCAATGTGCCTTACGATTATGACAAAAGGAGAAATGATTTATTTTAAAGAATAATGAGAAAGCTATGGATTTTCTTGCTATATAATTATCATAGGAGTTCATAATGGGATTATTTTTCAGTAGATACTTATCTATAATACAAAAGTTTAAAGTCTTCTCAATGTTATGAATCATAACGGAACTATGTCTATATGTTAACTATTATACAATTTCAATTATCTTGATGATGATAATAATAATAATAATAATGTTCTACAATGAATGTAGGCTGAATGCGGGATCAATAAATGGATTATGGTATAAAAAACTTAATTAACTAGTTAGGTGATACTATGGGGTCGGTGAGTATTAATACTAGGGTGAAGAATTTGCAGCTAGTCACAAATGGATACATAAAGGTTCTATCACACAAAAAGTTTAATATATATTTTGCCTGTAGAGTGTATCAAGTACATTTCATTTTGTCTGATCAACATACTTCAAGAATCCCTTTTCAACCCAAACATACTTCTATAATAGGTGCATATTTGTTTTTCTTATTGGCAGGGGAGGAGGGTAGGGAGAGTTGAGGAGCTATCTCTGGATCAGGAAGGCTCATTTGTCCAACATGGCTCCATACTAACTAACTTGGAAAGAGGGTTAGGATTGAACCTTTGGTTTACTTTCTGTAAACATGAGCCCTACCGGTATGTTCAAACTTGAAATTTATGGGGTGTGGATTTTGGCTGCCCATTTTTTGTTGAAGCCCTATAATGGGGTAACAAGGGGGTAACAAGTAGGGGCAATTATTAAAGAGGAGGGGTACCAACAGGTGGACCACATTATACCTGGTTTCTTCTTTTTCTTGCATGGTACAGCAGCATACGGACACATTGGAGATGAATAGATAGGGGAAGCTGGTTTATCAATGTGCTTCAATGGGGCTTCCAGGTTAAAATGAATTGACAAATGAAACAAAAAGTTGTGAACATTTCATTTTGTCCGAAAATTGTTTGTAAACAGCTAGATTAGTAAAGCATAATGATGATATTCCTATAATGAAAATAACCCTCATAAAACCAGGCATGAGGGAGAACTAAATCAGATCATCACAAATCTGTATTATAGCAAGAGTACTGTACAACTCTTCACTGGGACTGTACCAATATTTTATATAATTATGGCATGTTTTTTTTTTAAAGGAATTACTTGTAGTAAAGAAATGTTACTCCTGTAAATATCTGAGCTGATAAATGAAGATGTGGATACATGATATGAAACAAACGTGTGATGAGTCTTTTAAACTATTAAAATGTTAACAATTGAATAATTGTGGTAACTCTTCATGGTATGTGTATGTATGATGATTAGTTACAACAATCCACAGAAATCTATTGTATACCTCTGATGTAATTTATGGGTGCTACATCAACGAAAGACACACGGCGATCGGTGAAGCTGTAACGGTCTAAGCGATCCAAAATGATAGAATGAAAGCTTTTATAAAAGAAGCATTGTATCACTTATCATACTAGCAACTAAATGCATGCTAAAATCATGTTGAAGATATCTTCTTGACAAATCTCGGAACTCTAAAGCCTATATTTTCTACATAAATTTAATAGCACATGTTAGACCACCACATCTAATCACATTTGTTTTTTTGAGAAATGCAGAATATGCTTTGCAATGAGTGCTATACAGGATGAAAACTGTATCTTGTTCAATCAATCTTGAATCAATCTTTAACTGTAGTATGGTCATAAACATTTTCGGACAGTCAAGAGATTAATAAGATACCACAACTAGTATATAACCTGAACTGTTACAACACCCTCTAAAATACATTTGTAATTGAAACATTGTTTTTCACTGTGTCATCGAAGCAGTTAATGGTTCATTAAAATTGTGACACTTCGTAGTTGACAAAAAAAGATTGGATGCAGCTATTCTCAACATTCATATACTCCTTTTGGTACATATATGCCCCTAGGTTTTCTTTTCAATAATACAACCAAATATCACCCTTCTTGTAAACCATGCCTGTCTCTGCTTTACTCTTGCAAGGTTAGTTGAAACAAGAAAAAGAAAAGGATTATTGGAAGAAGAAGAAAAAAATAAGACAGATTCTTCAATGGATGACTTCTTGCTTGTGAATTATAGTGAAGACTTTCTACTTCACCAGCACTACCTGAGCTTAACTAGTTCCTAGAGAGAGGTAATAAGAAGGAGAAAGATTTCAAGACAAATTAGATTGATGTTGATTCCTTCTACATCTGACCCGTTGGTTCCACGATGCTGATTGGTTGCGGCCGTTACAGATTTTTTTTCTACTTTTGCAAGCAGAAAAAAAAGGATCATCTAAACATTGTTTTCAAAGGAAGACCTCTACCACAAAGACTACAATCTATGGGTCTTAAGGTCCACTTTTCTAAGCAACCACGTTCATCTTCAGGAAAGACTTGCAGTTTTTGAGCTGTTCTAAGAATCCATGGCAATTAATACCTGCTTCATAGACTGGTGGTTTTCTGCCGGGGTGAGGCGAGTTTGGCATGCTAGCGCTACCCTTCAGGATGATCTCCTCTTTATCAGCTGTCTTAGAAACAACCGTTTCTGCAGTACTTTTGACTTTGTCAGCCAAGGTTGTGAGACGGAAATTGCCATTAGCCTCTGAAAATGAAATACCATGCACCAGAGGGTATGGAATGAGGATTTACAATGACCAATGACTGGTTAAACACAAGATGACACCAGTGATGATGAGGATTAATAACATAGTGTTATGATAATGGTTTTATCATAAAATGATGCAGGCACAAATAAATGTTGGTATTATAATCAATGGTAATAATGATGACAATGGTGGGAATGATAATAATGATGATGATGATGATAATGATAAAGACGACGACGACGATGATGATGATGATGATGATGATGATGATGATGATGATGATGGAGACATTGATGATTGGGAACTGGGGATATTGTTGATTCTAAAGATGATGATGTATCATGAATATCAGACAAGGAAATTTCATCTAGTATGAGTTTAAATTTTCACTAGACTGATGATGACAATGAGCATAACTTAATGACAACATAAACGTCTACAATGATTTTAAATGATCTTTGAAAATGGGTAGGTAATGAACACATCCAAAGAACCATAAACACATACATACATCATTGATAAATTGAAAGGATGATAATGAATGCATAATATCAAATGCTTGTTCCAGTGACAGTGCTTTTTCTGCTACTGCTTTTCTTTTAGAAAGATCTAAGCTGGAAAGAAAATGGCATTTCATGTCAGTCAGATAGTGAATCACCATACTGGCTTTATCATATGACTTTCTTTGCAGAATAATATGAACAATGTGAGAAATCTATGAGGATGAAATGCAAATTCTAGCAGAAGATATTGAGATGTTCTGCTCCACTATGTACTCCATGTACTTTCAATGATGTTGGTTGCCAGGACAACTTGTTGCAATGCTCCCCTTGCACAAATACACTCATGAGAATGACTTGAATCTCCTGAGTGACCGATGAATGCTAATGCTCAGGTAGGTCCTGCTGTTTCCTAGACTGTCCTCGATGGGTTAACACCAGGTAACAAGTCTGGAGAAATCTAACCTGCCTGCTGGAAAGACACATACACACACATACATACAATTCATCCAATATCATACAGCAAGTATTAGGTATGAATAGCCACAAGGTTGCTTGGACTAAAACATCATAAGTGTTTCATAACACCCTTTTTGTATGTAAACAAACAGAAGGGACAATGTCAGGTTTCTATTCTGTTAAATTCTTACCTTGTTGTTGCTGTGCATGATTTGCAAAATGTGTTTCACTTTCAACTGTAGAGAGGGACGAAAGAACAGAGAGAGAAAGGAGCAAAGCGTTAACATGAGAGGAGTGTTAACAGCAAGTAGCCAAGCAGCTAGGAGACATGGATTGAAGCCACTTCTGACATAAGGTAAGGCATCACACCAACAGAGGTACTAATCTTTTACAGAATCCCACCACGTCCATGGATAGAAGAATCCAAGATTCAACCAAAGTATCAAAGAGACAGGAGTATCTAAAGGAAACAGTCACTATATACAAAAGCAACATCCTATAAAGACTGGGTATGTTATTCTTCTATCTAAATGCAAGTTAACTCTAGTACTCAGCAATTATTATGAATGAATCTAATCTCTATCCTGGACAAGTAATTTAAAAGAAATAATCAGTTAAGCCTAAAACAAGTCATCTTTAGAGTTATTTCTTTCTCAAGAAAGATGCAGATCTATACAGGACAAAGTAATATTCCTATAATCTATGATTAAGATTAAAACAATAATACTATGTATATATGAGAACCTATAATAATGTTATGAATCTTAATTGCTCAGAGGCTACTAAAACTCTAAAGACACTGACATGTTAATACTGGGATTTAACAAAGCAGGCATAAAAGATTAAAAAGAAGGCAGTAGACGATGACTTACTTTCAGATTTATTAAGTGACTCCATCTCTGATGGTGTAGCCATATTCTTTCCTCCCATCTGTTTCATGATGAGTTCATCAGCCCAGAGATCAGGGGGATTCCCCTCTACCTGGGTGGCATTGGTAGCGTGAATGGCTTTTCCATTGGATACAGATTTATAACCCGTCAGCTCTCTGAAAGAAGAACACAATGGAAACACATTATAACGATCTCAATGGCACAGTTGATTATACAAAATTTCCTGATTGCTCATCCAACACTGATTCTTAAAGAGGCCCTTCTGATTGGTAGAATAGATGAGAACAAACTCCAGATTACACTATTGTATATCTTGAAGCTTTTCAACTGACTGTTAAAGAGTTGATACAGAGAGTTAAATAATTTTCATTGTTTAATCAGGACATTTCTTCTAACAAAACGTTTCAAAAAGAATTCATTCTGAGTGATCTTGGGCATGAGTATTCAAAGAGCTGGGTAATTTCTCCTTCATGCCAAAATACACATAGAAGGACGCACTATTATGTCAATTTTACAGGGAGAATGCAGCGGAACTTACGCTTTTGCTCTCCTCTCCTTATAATCTTTTCCACAGCATACACAACAAGGAACACCACAGCAGCACTTTGTCCAGCACTTGGCACAGTCGTCTTCATCTTCGCAGCAACATGGACAGCATCCCGATGCGCATCCAGCAAGACAGGCTCCGCACGGCTCCAAGCAAGCATAGATATCATCACAGAGGGATGCACAGCCTGGACAGCATCTCAGACAGCATCGACAACAACCGCAGACGATACAGAAGAGCAAGGCGATGGCTAGGGCAATGAGGAAGAGACAGGCTAGAGCAATAGCCAGCCACAGCCACCAGGGGAATGCCACATCCTCCACAGGGTAAGCTGCTGCACCTGCACCTGTGGGGCACAAAAACAATAGATATGTTGGTAAACAAACTTTCAATTTTTTAACAACATAACAAAATAAATTATCAATGGTTTGTGGCAGGAGGTGGCATTTCTAGCATAGCTTAGAAAGACAAGATACAGACGTAAAGTCTTTAATGCACATCTAGGCCGGTATTCAATTAATTTCTTATCTGAGAAAAATAATTATTTAACTCAGCTTTTGGCTTAGGAAAAATCCACCTTTGGTATTCTATTAAAGCTTTGGCTAGGTTTTTACCCTAAATTTAAGACAGCACCCTAGCTGACTTAAGCCAATAAGTATGGAAGCCTTGATATGTAGGCTTGTGGTTTTCATATGGAGTCGTTAAGCCGTGCACATTCACATCAGCGCATTCTTAATGTGACACTATTATATTTTGGATTGATCGTGTAACGTCACAGTGCTTATCCCTAAGTATTTTGCCTTAAAGTCGGCCTACTTGGGTAAAATACTGAGATGCGATCTGAATATGAATTAAGACATATTACTTAGCCAAGCAAAGTGCTATGTAAAATACTGGCTTCATCCACATACTGAATTGAATACTGCCCCAGGAGACAAGAAACAGTAGATTTACCTTTGGTTCTATGTGTGACTACATCAGATATAGGTCCTATACCAGCACCATTGACTGCCTGAATTGAGAAATCATATTCTGAATTTGCATCAAGATCATGAACAAAGGTGGTAAGTGTCTCTCCTCCAACCTCTTGCCTTACAATCTCTGAAGGATTCGTTGTGCCTTTAGGTCCATAGAATAGTATATAACCTGTTGGGAGACAAAAGTAAAGGTATTAGTTACATTATACAACTAATTATGTCTCCAAGTCATGAGCATTACTTAATAAAGATATGATTAAAAAAGAAAGAAAGAAAAAAAAATCGCTTCTTTGAGACATTACCACAAAATGTTGATCCAAGACTAATCATATCTTGTAATAAGATGTTGGGGATATACAAAAGTTGTATGGTCCATGACCAACATGAAAACTTTCTTTTCAGCATATAAACTTTCTTTAGTGTAGAAGTATGCTTAGAAATAGGAGCACAAAGAAACATATCAAAGTATATAATAACTGTATACATATAATTGCACATAATACAGAAAATAAGAAATGCACTCAGAGCTTGACTCTGGAAAAACTAGAAAATTAGAATTACTTCAGTAATACTATCACATTGAATGATACAGGACTTTACCCTGTTTTGACTCTATTACTATGTTTGCTTTGTCCATGCTTACGTGTGACATCTCCATTAGGATGAAGAGGTGGTTGCCAGGCAACAACCAGAGATGATGAGGTGTTGGTAAAATCACTAATTGTCAGCTCCTGAGGCGCAGAATCTGGAACTAAGAAACAATTTAAAGAAGGCTTAATCAACTTATTGAATACGATCAATCTTGGAAACATAAAGTATCAAGAAATTAATAAAGCTTAATTAAGAAGACTTGCTAGACTAACCTCTAAATCAGTAAAGAGGAAAAAATACTGTACACCACAACACTTTTGAAACAATATCCAAATCTGTGCGACATTTGGCAACTACATGATTCCAATATAAAGTGTTAGTTTATACTTACTTTATGAACATCATTTTAATGTGACCATTTGTTCTATAGAAGAACAGCGACAAATACAAATGTATTAAAGCCTCACGTCTTGCAACTATGAGACTAAATCGCAATAATGAGCTTAAATCATGCAATATAAATGGAAGCTAAAGGAACATAGTGGCTGTGATTGGCTGCCAGAAAGTAAATATATTGCCAACTGTTTAATGGACTTGGTCTGTACTATGTAGCAATGATAGCTAGAATACCATGAGGGTCCTTACAAATTCTTTGTGTCAGCAGAGAATAGCTAGGTCAGTAAGACATTCGTAGATGAGTGAAGTTTTCTAGCTAGCATTGTTGCAGCCCTTTTTCATTAAATGGATAGTATTACGTTTACTTTCCGGCACTAAATCACAGCCTGTCATTTTTCAAACGCTTTGTTACTTCAGCTTCCATTGACATTGCCTGATTTCAGCTTTCTGTTCATAACATTCTTGAGTTGCTATTCTTCTAACTTTCATTTTGTCTGGTAATTACCTACATGACTTGAGATCAATTTACACCTGTAAATCTAGTATATTTCAACTTACAGAATACAGTTTAAATTTGCTTATAATATTCATTTTCCATAAACCATAGCTCGATATATCTCAGTCACAGTCATCAACATGATGGAATTGTATCTTATCCACAGGCTGATGGAGGAAAATATGAGTGATTTTCCTACGACATAACAAGCATAAGCTAATTCCCCCTCTTGACACTTCATTTAATAGAAGTTGGGAAAAAGTTTCCTAATATAAAGCAATTAGACATTATTTACTAAAATCTTTTCTTAAGATCTACCATGCACAATTTGGGGGTTTATGATACAAGGCACCTGCACACAGTTTACCTATTGGTATGCAGAGGGTACTGTAACCATGCTTTCTGAAAGCACACCATTTATTGTTTCACAGGGAGTACTGCCACACATGTATGATGAATTATACATTGACATGATATTCAAGAGACAGAAATTATGCCAGAAATGTTCTAGCTTTATTGGACCAGATATCAACAAAAGAAGAAAGTTGTCATTTAGGATATGAATGTTTCTATATAGGGATATAGGGAATACCACAAATCAAATTCTCACATTATTATGCCAGATTTATAGTGACAAAAATCAATGGCATTTCAAACAGATGAAACAGAATAAAGCACAAATAGATCTGCCGATGAACATATATAACATAAAACAAAAATTCACTTGCACAATTTTTTGGATGAAGACTTAAACAGATGCACAAACCATATGGGGAAAGATTATCACGTTGAATGTAGACTTACATTGATAACATTGCACTCAATTTACAGAATGCAATCTAATCAATTTGCAGACAGGGCACACTTGTTAAAACATTGCACTTTGATTTACACAGTGGATCTACTCAGTTGATGGATGGGGCACAATTGTTAATCATCATGCAACATTCCTAACAATTTTCATTTATTGGACAAAGTACCTTGGTAAGGGTGGCGGTTGATAATATCTAGAAATATAAAGATATAAATAGCAGACTTTTTAAAGCATTTTAGAAGCTTGGGAGGAACAACTCACTATACACAAAAACAATGGCCCTTTGCATATATTACCTGTATGTTTTTATTAAACAACTCATTTGCATATATTGTAATAAGTTTAAATACTACAAGTACAGGTAAATACAGGTTGAATAGAGTTTACAAAAAAAATGTATATAAAATTCTTGTATTCACAATGCAAATTGTTGCCCATTTTAGGTCCTGTACTAGCATTTTATCTATATCTTTTATTCAAGTCAATGTCTAAATGAAACAAAATAAATGCCTTATTGCTGATTTTCACTATGTACCTACACATAAACCAGCACAACAATCTTTTTTTAGATTTCTAGATTACAATCAGGAATGAAAACTTGTTGTTATATTAGATTTTTCCCTCTGACGTCAAAAAACACTATCGAGGCATCCCATCTGTCAGATATTTAACAGCTCGGAGACAATTTTTGGAACAGCTTCATTTTTTTTTTAAATAAGTGATTTATCTTTTGCTGAGAGCAAGAAGAGTGATAACTCTGTGCAAAATCATTTGATTTAAAGCATTCTGGCTCTAGATTAAAAGATGAACCATAGGCTATTTATAAAGAATAGAAGAAAGAAAGAACTAAGATAATAAAAGAAAACAAGCTAGCCCTTACCTGCATTCATGGTCTCTGCAGAGGTGATAATGGAGAATTTACTGGCTTTTTGACCCTCAGTAACCATGACTTGGAAATCATACATGGTGGCTGGTTTCAGTCCTGTTACTAGGAACTGAGGCTGTGTGGCATTGGCATAGTATGTTGGTCTGTCAAGGTAAAAAGAAATTACACATGTATTTATATTATCATTTCAATTAAGATTTTTTTTTCTTCACCAGGGTGGCTTCAAGTAAGGAAGTAAGGATGATAAAACAATTAAAAGTAAAAGTAAACAACTACACAAGACAAAGCTAGCAAAATTGAAAGTTAGCGAGTGAATTTCAATCATAAATTAAATGCATTTATAACTTATCCCCGTAAAAGTGTTCTTGAGTGTGATGGGTATAGCAGCAGCTTCAAATATTAAAGAGGAAACTATTCTAGAAACCAAGACTCCATAATGTCTTTCTTTTAATACTGTGAAAGATCTTATAGCTCAATATGTCTACTAAAAACATTTTACTCCTTTCCTTAATATGCTTATCATACATTTTGGATATTGTGAGCTGATCATAAATAATAAAGGATCGTACACGATAGTTTCGTGATTACATTATCCTTACCCATTGTTCCTGCTATACACCAAGGAATAATATCTGATGACTCCCTCCTCTAGACTTGCAGGGTTAGGATCATACCACGTCAGCAGGATTGCTCTGGATGACTCCGGTGTTGCTATCAACTCTGAAGGTGTCTGCATGGTCTTCTCAAATCCAGTGCCTAGGACAACAACAAAAACATGCTTACATTTCTGCAAAATATAATGCATTTTTTACATTACAAAGCTCAGGTAATTTGTTAAATTTAGTATTGGAAAAGTGTAAGCCGAGTCACCACTGTTACAACAAGGTGCAATTAAACTAGCTGTTGACAGAAATCAAATATGATCAATTTATTAAAGAACAAAGTATAACATCTAACATTAGAAAAGATCTTTCAAACTCAAATTGCTTTTAGAAAGGTCTTTATCAAAATGACCCGTAATTATATCGTTTAAGATCCAAAATGTTGATTACTTTTAAGAAAATATTTTCCCATGTTTATTTCATAATCTTTTATTCTATTTGAATAAATAATCTCTATTCTATTTTTTTTGAAAGGCCCCTGCCGTACAAATATAAAAAAGCCTTGACATCAAATTAACATGTAAAGAATCACATTATGTGCACTGTGCAATAGGGTAGTACATAAAATGGATAATCAGCCATGTTGTCAATTAGCAGTACTGGTTCCAGGGTTAAGCTATTACACTGAGAAACACAAATATAAGGTGCACCATCATCATTGGAAGAACAACATATTGCTCACTTTATTTTATACACTAGTATCTCACATTGTGTGCTTACATGGGTTTCACATAGTGCAATCAAGCAAAACACTGAGAGTTATCTTTTGAACAGATTTTATCATTTGTACATGTATAATAAATGAAAAGAAATCAAGACCTTTCAGAACCTTCTCAAGCTCAAAAGGCTGCCATATCTCTGTACTCAACTCAAATGATGAATTGAAAATATTATTCAAAATTAACTGTTGTTGCTCTGATGCAGCCAAATATTTCAATCATCAAAAATACTCTTTGAGGAAAGTTTTTGTATTTCATTCAAAATACTGTCAAGTTTTCATAATTTTCAACCCATTGCCTACATGAAATGGGTAGCCCCTGTATCAACCAATATGGGAAGTAAAGACTTCAGTAGTCATTAAGTTAATAAGAAACAACTAATATCACAAATGCTCTGACTTGAGCTTACTGCAGAACACAAATAAAGCCACATAATTAATTAATGCAAATCCAGCGAGTGGCACAAATATCACAAATGCATCAGTGTGTCAAAATGGCCCATCAAGTGTTCTGCAGAAACAGAAATGCATCATTAAGTGGCAAAGTGTGCAACTTCTTTCAGCTGACAAAGAACACAAATACACAACAGAATTGTCAATTTACTGAGCTAAAGCTTGTAGGCATGTGATTTGCAAACCATTCCAACTTCTTCTTTATCTTCTTTTTCAACTTCCTCTCTTCTTATTTGGTTCTTCTTCATTCTCCTCTAATCCTCATTCCATTTCTTCTTCTTCCTCTTTCTCTTTTTTTTTTACCTCTTGCATAGTTCTAAATTTCAAGCAAAGGACATATACATCAATACAAACAAAGAATGGGCGAGTGTTATTATTAGTAGCATTATCTTATCGTTATTTGTATCATTTGCTATTTCATTGTGTTTTCTTTAAAGGGTGGACAATTTACCAATCAAACTTGATTAAACCTTTCTGCAAATTTTAACCAGCAAATCAGAGAAAGAAAGTCATTTACTTTGCTTAACGTATTTGCAAGGTTTCTAGTAGAAACCAGGCAACCTAAACACATTTTAAATACTAAACTTACTAATCATGCTTAAAGTTAAATGTGCAGGTAATGCATGCAATACATATAAACAAGACATTCTTATGAAGACATCGAAACCATGCATAGTAGGAGAGATATAAACTGTAATTGGCATTATCCATGCATGATTAGGAATTTGTTCAAATCATATATATGCTGAACCAGCAGTAGCAGATGGGAAACGAGGTAAGAATGACTGAAAAGAAAGAAATTAAATCAAAAATGGTAGAGGAGAAACAATTTGATGAAAACAGCCCCTTTTTCACAAGACATGTAGCAAGGTGAAGATAACGATGAAGCCGATGATGACAGTGATGATGACGATGAGAAGGGAATGAAATAAAAAAAGGGCTATTGAAATGATATGTAACACCACGTTCTTCAAGAAAAGAACTCAATTTATCTTACTTGGGGGTAGGCCCATTCCGATATAGGGAATACTGCCTGTAATGTGATGATGTATAATACAAAATGTCAGGCATAGATGTTGGTAAATGAAAGAAGAATCTGGAAAGCTTGAAAAAGTTTGAAAAATGACAGGAAAAATAGAGTAGATATGCTGAAGATAGAGATGAAAGAATGTTTGAGAGAGCATTGACCCAGACGAACCTCTAAAAGAAAGAAGATTGATAGATCAAACATGAAATATGATGCACTATCTTTGTCACTTTAGGTTTGAGACCTCATTCGATCAGAATAATATTATAGGCTTGATGCTTCTTTCAATATTCTGTAATATGGCTAAAAAATTATTTCTAAATATATCTCAATTAAGAAATATCAAAGAATTTGTATAGCATGGCTGCATTTATTGTAGTCTTTATCAGCAAGGTCTCAAGAATTAAAGTGACAGAGATCATTATAAGAAAGTATACTGATAATTGGTTAGTTTGATGTTAATGGATAAAACAGTTATATAAATGACAAAACCCAACATCTAACAAAAGATAATACCACAAAGACAGTGTACTACAGGCATGCAACAAGATGTTAGATAAGATAATTATAGTCACAAGATTCATCGCCCTGCTGATCACAAACTCAAAGTATTACTACGAAGTGACGTAGAATTGTTGATCAAAATAGATTCTTGATAATATGTTGATACGGATGTAATTTACATTTAATATCCTCCTTCAACAACCATATGATTTCTTTGTATTATGAAGTAATATTGATACTGTACACACCAAGAAATTCATTACACAAATAAAAACATGCACAAGTGCATGCAAATATATCAAGTTCTCTAAACCATTCACTAATAAGAAACATAGAAAAATATTACTATGCATAATATATTTCAGTAATTACGATTGAAATCTGTGAGAAATGTCTGGTTTTCAATATGCTTCAATGTCTGGTTTTTAATATGCTTCAATGGAGAACACAAAGAACCATGTATGCATTATACAATGTACCTGAAGTTTCAGAAAATATCTAAAACTTGCCATAAAAATATTCTTATTTCTATTCCCCAAATGTCGTGATAGCACGATTCCATACAATGTGTCCCTTATGACATAATGTCTTCTTTTCTACATGATATTATTATCATCATTAAGTATTTGGCATCAAGCGAAATGAATCACTGTGACCCTTATCCCACAATGAAGAATCTCTTGATATGACCACTGAATGAAGGTGTTTTCAGGTATCACTACCATTAGTAAGTCATATCAAGAAATGTTTTATTCATGGATGAAATGTATGGATAAATGTCATTCATTGTATGTCATATGGGATACATTGCATAGAATCACCCATTAACAACTTTCTATGTGTTCCAGATTAGTCACCATGTAATTTCAGTTCTTCACACATTTATATATATCCTTAAACAATATAATCATAAACATTTGCCTTTAACACAAGTTAACAGTTTATTATTCTATATGATAAAACATACAGACTGAAATCAAATCATGCAGAACAACACAACATGCGTCATTCGTAAAAGAACATGCAACAAGATGCAGAATTCACGACGAGACGTATAGACGATATCATGCTGTAACAACTTCACAACTGCTATCAACAGAGACGGCCATGCATAAACCAAATGTTGCCAACTTACTGCCATCAGTGCTTGTCCTGACATTCTCGAAGACGGGCTGGCCCTCTCCAGCCTTGTTAAAAGCTCTAAGCTTGATCACATAGTTTGTGTTCACTTTAAGATTTTCTAACTCAACATAGCGGGTAGAGCCGTCCAACTCAAGGACTGTAATGTCAGGGATGTTCTCCCCGTAACCAAGGATGTAACCCTCCACCAGGACTATGGCGGCCTCGGGATGACTCCAATGCATGGTGATTTGATGGGCAAACGTTCTCGTTTCGATTACGGTGGGAGGGGGCGGTGGTATATTTTCTATTGGGGGAGCCATTACCCAGAACAAGTCAAGGAGAAGTTGTAGGATGGGAGAGTCAAGGTTGGGAAAGAGTAGGTTGGGATATCATTGAAGGTTGGAGCATGGTTGAAGCAATAGGACGAGGGATTATTATTAAAATGAATGAAATAAGAAAGAAGTGAAAAACAAAAGAAAAATATGAGTTAGTATCAAAGACCATTAGTTTCAAGAACACATAAAGAAAAGTCAGAAAGGATGATGTAGCGTCTTAAAGAGCGACCTCATTGGGTTAAGAGAAACAGAATTTCCTCAAAAGAATACTACTTCTATATACCTACATGTGTTGTAAATGTGCTTTATTGCTAGATATTGTGTTTGGGGGAAGTGCAATTGACTTAGAGTAAGCCTAAGATATAGACAGTGTTTTCTATCAACAAAAAATTTAAAAAGTAGCCAGAAAGAAATTAATTATTATTTAAATAAAGGAGCATTTCGTAATAGAAAATGAAAGTGATTCCCATAAAGAATAGCACCATTAGACACCTTGAGGAAAGTGTGAGTAGAAAGGAAAATGGAATGCTATGAGAAAAGACTTTTTATTTCATGAGAAAGGAAGGAAATATTTCAAGCCTGGGCTGAGATCTACAAAGTTCCACAAAGTCAGTTGAAAAAGTAAAACACTTTATGTTTCCTAATGAACATACTCCTGTAGAATCATATTAAAAAAAAGACGATATTGTTTTCTTACCATTTGGTGCAAGAACCTCTGTTCTACCAGCTATCCACTCAGTGAACGGTCCAGTCCCATTGACATTTACCATGGCTATCCTTACTTCATAATCGGTTTCTCTTTCCAGGTCTACGTGCATTTGTTTGGAGGAGAGAGAGAGAGCAAAACATATGTTATTACTCCTGCATGGTAACATCAAGTACTGATCAGTAAACCAATTTTAAATATTATAGATATATTCATATTCAACATTGTGAATTATGATCTACATCATAGACATAACATGACAATAACTTTTGTTAAAAAATGAAAATTTTGCTTGATTATTCGAAGATTCTTTGATCAATTTGATTCCTGGATTATTTTCATTATATTATTTATTACATTCTGTCAAAGGTTGTTTAAACTTTGCACATCTCTGTGAAAATTATCAAATAAACTACGTCTAAACATACCTATTCATTAACCATTCATCTTCGAAACCTTATAATTCATTATAATTCATTTATGACTGGCTGCAGGAGAATTTGAAGAGGCAAGTGTCTGCAACTACACCTATTGATTAACCAGTTATCTTGGAAACCTTATGATAAATAATAATAATAATAGTGGGTTCTTGTATAGCGCTCATGTCTGTCAGACTTGACACTCCTGGCGCTCCCGATTATTACCCTGGCTTAAATTAAATTTGAACTGGCTGCAGGAGAATTTAAAGGAGATAAGTTTCTGCAACTACACTACCCAGTCAGATTCTCTAATACTATGCTTATACTTCAACTGCATCCACTATGAGATTCTACTTCACAGCAGGTATGAACTGATATCACACTGAATTTCTTGCTTGAAAAAATGATAACAAGTATATAAATTTCATAAGATGACAATATAAACATAGAGCAGAAAAGCCTTTTTGTTATTAAGTCAAGGTTCAGTGAGATTTCAGGTTCAAAACTGTGTTATTGTAAACCTTACAAATTAACTACTCAGCAGAAACATAAACATGATACGTATTGATTCTCACAAGGTTATTTGAAAGGCTCTTTGGAATCGTGCAAATTATGCTCAATTCTATAGGAAACTCTAGATTTTTAACTACCCAGCAGAAACATAAACATGGAACGTATTGATTCCCACCACGTTATTTGAAAGGCTCTTTGATATTCTGCATTTATGCTAAATTCTATAGGATATTCTAAATTTTCAAAAGTAGGATGGGTGTTAATGGAATGGCATAATGTCAGTTCCAAGTTGGGTTTTGTCTTTTTATTTCATGCATCTATTCATGAGAGTCTCAAATGCAAATGTGTGCTTGTAAAAGACAAGTGATCAAGTTGAATCCCCCAAGCCTTTATTTCCCCACTCAACGTAAATATGTTTTGCTCTCAAGAAAAGCTAAAAATGTGTCAACATACTGGACATCATCTTCAGGCAGTAGGCAGAGTTCATGGACATGTGACTATGATTCTACTTTAAATTCAATGCCTTATATAACCATTCAAGTTACATGTACTATCTGAATAAAATAATCTGACTCAGACAAATGCAATCTTCATATTAAAGGAATTAAACTAGAAGTAAGTTATATAACAAATTCCTTGTATAAATTAGCTTTATAGGTAAAGTTTATCTTTTTTTTCCCAACTCTTATATGAACAGTAGGCTCGTCACCTAATATAAACACAATTTTTTTTTAATCAATAAGGAAATCTTAACAAAGATTGTGAATCATGAACTATATTTCTTGATGCAGTTCTCTAGCAGCAGTCTCAAAGAATGTATAATCACCTTCTATTCTGTATGAAGTAGCTTTCCCCATTATGGTGACCGGTATTCCCTCTCCTCCCCTCACACGGTAACGTAGCTTATATTCCATGATCTCTCCGTTACGCTCGTGGATTGGAGGTGGTACCCAAGAGATATCCAGGGCATTGGGCACCGCTGGAGCAGGATTCACACTCACGTTAGTGGGCATTCCCGTTGGATCTAAAAGAAAAGCAAACAATATATGATTCAAGTTGGTTTAAGATTATCATTACATTGGTATTTCTTTCATGTTAAAAACAATGATTCAGATTCATATGGGGTCGATTCAGATTCATATGCAGAGTACACATCATTTGAAAAACTTTTTGTTACAAAAATCTTCTTTATAAACTGTCACCTCAAAAGTATATATTTGATCTAATGATTTTATACAAAATTATTTTGAGTGTGGCATCTTCCGACTACATCAAACCTACGGCATAAAGTTCTTTCATACATTTTATTAAACCACAACAACTATATGTTGGCAATATGTGAAAATATAGCTAACACAAATTGGATTACCGATCATAACAAAATAACAGAGAAAAATTTGAAACAAAAGGTATGACTGGATGATTATATCATTCTAGTTCTACTTGCCTGCCCCGGGTGTTCTGGCATCAATAGTACTGGTTCCACCTGCTCCGTTAGCATTATAGGGGATAACCGTCATCTCATAGAGCGTGTATACATCCAGGTTGTCTAGGATGAGGCTATTGTCCGAGGGCGCCACCTCTCTTTCCATCGTACTCCCCATCATCTCATCAGTCACCCGAACAATGTAGTTCATCAGGTCACCGTGCGTGTCAAAGGGTGGTCGCCATGACAACTCCATGGAGGTGGAGGAGAGTGGGATTGCTCTCATGTCTGTCACTTCATCAGGTGTCACTCCTGGGAGTTGGTAAAAATGATGTATGTTGTATGTATTTCAAGCAGGATGTTTAACATAATAAATCATTTCACTTTCTACAACTTCCTACATTACAGTATTAAATCAAAGACAACAAGTTCACTGCTTTGATTGTAACAATGCGTTTGTTTTTAAACGCATAACACATCTTTATATCACATTTGCCACCAGGAGGATGAGTTTAATTCATATCACTGAAAAATTGTAATATTATTCTAATAAACTTTTATTTTTAAAAACTGATATTTACTGAAGAAGTCTCTATGTACACATATAAACATGTAATTTCCATCTCAGTCTTGAAAAATATTCCAGGCTTTAAATTCTTACCCGATCAGTAACAAATCATGAACTAATGGACTCACTTGTATCATCTGGCGTTGTGACTATGATGACGTTAGAAGATGCTCCTAGTCCATTGTTATTCTCTGCTACTACCCATATACGATAGGCTTGATTAGGTAAGAGATCTGTCACCATCTTAGTCAAGGTATCCTTGTTGACATCCACAAGCCTCTTCCTATAAAAACACAGACAAAATAATAGTTTCCTCTTTTATGATCGATCTATCGTAATCATTAAAGCCTATCTGCACTAGTTTGGCCAGGAGGGATTAGACCTAACTGCAACATGGTCACTGACAGGTGGTTATCTCATCAAATCAGCTCTCAATTAACATAAGAAAAATGGGACCATGGGGGAGCAACAGGTACTGCTTAGGCATTGTTTATAATATTTTGGGTACGGGAAAAGAAAGTCTTTTCTCTGCATATTTAATGTGCAAGTCATACAAAAGCATTTGAATGCAATAATGAACACTGAAATACTACGTTTCAGACAGATAATAATAATACTGAACAGATTTTTCCGTTGTGGGGCACAAGAGTAAGAGTATATCGCACTCGCTTTGAGAATATATCCCAAGAGCTGGTGGGCGTATTTCACGAGTCAGTACCAGCTCTTGGGATATGCCCTTGTATCCCACTCAAGGCCATTCAATACCATATAAATATTCAATATGAAGAATAAGATTCCTGTCTGTGCCACAAAATCTCATTGAACTTTAAAAGCATGAGGTGTTTTTTTTTCTTCTTCCTATCACCACTTAAATCATCCTTCTTCTAGAAACAAATTTTCAAAATGTATTCTCAGAAGTTCAAAAATATTTGCACTGGGAATTTTCTCATAAAATGTCTATTGGTAAGTATATAGAATGAGTTTCTAAACTATTTCCCACTGAAATTACAAAGATATCGATGTTCCAGTAAAGAGAATAAAACAACAAACTACAATTGGTACTAGCACAAATCCATTTTAGAACTTTCTGGTCATTAAAATCAGAGATATCATATTTCAGATGTAGGGGTTGAGATTAGATCACCTACCTAGCGCCCTCTTCATCTTTCTGAAGATAGAGCTGATATCGAAGTAGAGAGCCTGGGACAACAGTCGGTGGTCTCCAAGACAACGTGATGCTCTGAGGTTGAACACTGATGGCACTCAGGTCAAGAGGTGGGGTAGCCACAGGTCCAGTAGGAGTTTCTTCATCAGGAAGAACAGGTAACTCAGTTGGTAAGGGGTCTGGCACGTCAATGGGTCGAGGTATGGTGGGGATGGGTAGTGGCAGTGGAGGGGGGTCAACTCCTGATCAGGGGGAAGGTTTGGTGGGCAGAGGGGGTATGTGGGGTAGGGTAGGGAGGGGTGGGAGGGGGAGATGGATCATCAAGGGAGGGGTGGGGAGTGGCATGCAAACACAAAGACAAACACAAATGCGATATATAAAAACATGCTGCAACCATGCAAGTCACAAATGGCAACAATATAAAATCATAAACATGAAGCATTCGATACTTACATATCAGGAACATATACATGCAGACTGGGAGTACTCATGAGACATGCAGAATAAGAACACTTGATAGGAGAACTCAATATCAATCTGCTAAAATATATCATGTTATGATAACACATAGTTTACACTGTATTGAGAATGAAATAATATATACTTTTAGTGGTAATGATGTATCCCAATTTGCACACATAAAGGGCTTGATATTTCTCTATCCACTGATTACTTCTCAACAAGTTATTCCATCCACAATTTATGATCAGGTATTCTTCAGCTAATTTGACAAATATCCAAGCTTATTTCATATGAACTGTTAAAAGATTAGGTTTCTTGATTAAAATTGTCCAAATACACACAATAGATATAAAAGGTAAATAGTGTATCCCATGGAAAACAATGCAGTTAAAAAGTGTCAATCACAATACTCATGCTATCTATTTCTCTTCAAATTTATACAAATGTCTTATCACATGTTATATATCAATATGGTGGATTGACAAGTAACAGCGCCCCCACCGGCAAGCCGTGACAGGCAATTTGTTCTTCTCGCGACATCTTTCAACATCTTTTCAACGCAGCAAAACACTAGCCATTGATCGAAATGACCAAAGTGGTCCAAACTTCTGATATCAGTGTACATTTCTATATTGAATTTTTATGTCAAAAGCCACCCATCAATTGACTTATATTTTGGCCTGATTTTGGTCAAAGATCAATAGAAATTGTCATTTGTTGGCAAAAATGACCCAAATTGATTTTGATGAGCTCAGTTTGACCACTTTTTCTAGCATCAGGGCATATTTTTAGATAGAAAAGGCCCTTCAAATCTCCTTTGTTGACAATAATGATTGGAAAATTATCCCTGATCAAAAGTGACCATAACGGTCAGTTTCCTATCCAAAATTGTTTTGTTGTTGTTAAATTGGCCAAAACGACATTAGTAGGGTCCATAAGGTAGGGTAAAAAAAATTACCCTGGATATGCTATTCAAGCCTTCCCACCCAAAATTTGGATTAAATCCCCCTATCTCCTTGGTATATAAAAAAGCTACAGCTGATATTTGTGTTGACTTTATCCAGCAATGATGCAGTGGATTGTGAATCCACCATAGTTATTATATTAAAACACAGTGTCAGCTACAATTTTGTCAATGCAAATATAAAAAGCACAAAACGAAGCACATATTCACAGAGAAAAATTAAAATGCAGCAACATTAATGTATAGACAAAATAATGCAGTCTATAACAAAACATCATATAATGTAAATCAATAAGGATCAGAATAAAGGTACGTACAACCATGCACAAAATATGGCCAAGGGACATCGGGTGGGGTAGGGCTCATTAATATCACATGTCATGTCATGAAAAATATTATCTTCATTCTATCATTTTTATCATAATCTTTATAGTCAACAATATATACAAATATTGATAATAATGAGAGACTTAATGTATTTTTCCCCAAGAAAATACATCTCCATCATTAAAACAAATATAAATTTCCTGAACGAGTGCCTTAATGAATAGTGGACTGATTGGGAACTTTTAATTGTTTAAACACATACAAAACACTTGAATGATTTGATATAAACATGATAAAACATAATTTGAAGGAACCGATACAAAACCACTATTGTACTGGTTTGATATAACATTCTGCAAATGATTAAACAATTTAATTTGATGTCTTTGATATGTTTTCTTTTGTGCAATAATTTTTGTAAACTGGGTTGGTATAATTTGATTTTGATATAACTGATGTGCAACTGTGTTGAAAATGTATGCAAGTAGCCACAAGAATGTAAATAGTACAGGGAACAATAATCTAGATACCTGCTGGAATGAGGGTGTATGTTTCACAGTCCTCTAGATATTCTGATCTACATCACTGTAATTATACTTTTCCAAAAATAGTGTAAAATACATTAGATGAAGGGTAAAGATAGTGCTATTTAAGCCATAAATAGCAATTCTATTTTGCTTCTAAAGTGTGATTCCCCAATGACCTGCCAACAGTCATGAGGAATATTCATCTAATAATATATACAATGGAAACAAAATAGAAAAGGGTCAGAATTAGAAGAAAAAAGGAGAAAGCCCGAAAGCGGTAACATTTGATCAAGCGCCTCTCATGTCTGAGAGTCATACAGAGGCTGAGCCCTAGATATATTTACGTCTATAGATTTCAAGATATGGCTCAAATTAAGTTTATCTGCCTGGGGCAGGCCTTAGCTTGTTGGTAAACAGCCTGAGCTGTTGCCCCGCTTCTTCTCCTTCTTCTTGCCCGACAATGCAATTAATCTTGTGCTCAGTGCCTAGAGAGCTGACGGCTATGTGTGGTACTAGCTGAGTCTTATTTTGCCTTTGACTCTGAGCGGCCAATATATCTTCTCGTCTCCAATCTTTCCATCTTGATTCTAATCTATGAAATTCACAGCATCCCCTGAAATATACCTCATCAAAACACTGTTGAATTTGCTGTTGTTGTTTTTGTTTGTTTTTTGTTTTTCTTCCTGTTTTTTCATTTGTTTTATTTGTTTGCTGCTCTATTTCTAAGACTGTCAAATCTTGTACATCGAACATCAATAAGCCTAAAGAAAGAACATCATAAATACAAAAATACATTTCCTTGACAAGCAGCAAGCACTATCCCTAAAATTCCATATTCTTTCTTAACTTTGATTTATCAGTTCCATCATAACATGATCTAGTTTTTGGACTGAAGATGCATTTGTCTTGAACTATTGAGATCCCCATAAAAATCATGCATAGAAAACCTTTAACAAAGACAAAAAATCCAGGGCACTCTTTGACATTAGTGAATAAACTACATTTCCATTTGTACTTCCATAGCCTGCCTTTATCTGGTTTATTTCATACAGTAATACATGGGTTGTACAAATAGCAAATGGATTGAAGATCACAAAACCAAACTTGTAAAACTGTCTTTGTTCAGTCAAATAGCTGCCATCTTGTATGTCAAACCATGCAGAAAATGATGATTGAAAATCCTCCCATGACAAAAGAAAACATGATTAGTTTTAGTTGTATCAACATATCAACTTCCTGCAAAAATAGATGACATAAACTTGGAGAGAGGGATGAGGAGGAGGAGGAGGATTGGGAGAGGATGGAGACAGACGGATGGTCATACGTACAAACAAGGCAGTCTACTGACCATGTTTTCCCTCCAAACAGGCCCAAATTTTGAAGCTGTAATCCCATGATTAGTGCTATCAATCACACTGGCCACTACCCACACTTTGGGTGATGAGATATAAATATTGATCTTGGTTGCAGTGAGAACCGATGCATATTTGATGCCATTTTCTCACTCTCACCAAGCTAAATGTGGTGATTTCTCTTGAGGCCCCCCTCCTTCACAACATGTAAGATTGTTTTCTATTTTGGTATCTCTGCCTTTTTCCTGATGTAAGAGATGTATCGTTTGGAGAAAAAAAACAAACACTTATTTTAATGACGTAAATGAAAATATGACGCTGGCTGGAAACTATTTACGTCCCAAAAACATATAGGTCATTCGAACTTAACTGAATAATTTTTTTTTTTAATTATTTGTATTCTAAACTGAATGAAGATCATGTTTTAGTATGAGCCAGCTCTTTTAGTTTAGGGATCTATCTGGGATATATTCTCTTAATTTTTATGAAATTTTGTCATGATGTCTTCAAACAACTTCTTTTTTCTCTAACCTTTTCCAGATAGAAGTAGGAGTTCTGGGCAGTACCATGTATTATAAAGAGCTGTGATCAATCACAACTTAAAATCAATCTCAGCTGTGTACTTAAGAGATAGGAGTTGTGATTAACTGCCATTGTTTAAAATCAATCACAACTCTTTATAAGTTGGGTCCCTGATCTCTTCACTCACAATGACTAAATAATTATAACTGCAGCAGTATAAATAAAAAGCTATAAATTCAGATGAAGATTGGGTCATTTGTAGGACTTGAAATCTAACATTTTAATTTTGAACATCACATGTGAAAAAAAGAAGCATTCTTCTTAGCTTTTATAATATTTCATGTCAATTTTCAAAATATATATTGCAATTGAACATGAACTGATAATTTGAAAGTTCATCAGTTTTTAACTGCTTTCTTGCTTTCTCTCTGTAAAATAAAAAAGGGAGCTTTATATCATCTTACAAATTGAAAGTTGTATAATCTTTATTAGATGAAAATGTACTTTGAATGCATTATCACATGTATTCTGTTGCTTAAGACGAGTATAAAAAACCTGCTTACATTTCATCTAATGGTATGTGTTACCATGGAAATATAAATATATTCTTATTCACTTCTAAAGCAACATAAAATAGCTGATGTGGATGTTTGTTAATATCTGCTCTCTTGTTTCATTATCCAATAAGCAGGTACCACCTTACATCCCCTGAGCAGATGGATCATGGCTTTCTATTATCTCTTTAAACTCTTAGAGCTGGAACCAATGTCTTCACGGTCGTTCAACTCTATACTCCCAACCTCATCATCCTCCTCCCTGTATTCTTCTCATCTCGTTGGAGGCATCCACCTCTTGATGAGTTTGACGGTGGATATAAAACTACCCAGGCTTCCTATAAGAAAGGATTGCAATATAACCATGGTAGATCACGTTTCTCTACCAAAGGTAGTCAACTCCCGACTAGGGTACCCCCTGTGAGCTAGCACACCCTCCCCAATGTGACGTGTCCAAAAAAGTAACATTCAACCAAGTGGTGGATAAACATGGATTCAACATCAATGGTCTCCTTACCTGAGGCTTGGGCCCCG